CAAATACTGGAAAAGTGCTAAGATGTCACCCCTCGTCCTTCTTTCTTTAGACTAGTCATACCCAAATCCTGCAACCATTCTTTGTGTGTTGCTTTGTTGCTTTGTTGTTCTTCTCCGCACTCTTATACAAATACAGTATAATGCAGCTTATTATTTATGGCCCGCATTTGTGTCTCACCTTTCAAGTTTTCAAGTCTTCCGTAGGGAGCCAATCCAAGAAAAAAGAAAAACCACAGTCAATAAAATTGCAACAGTATTAATTTAAAACAATAAACACAGCTAACCCAACCTTAGCCTGTGGCAACTGCTAGATTTATAACTAGCTAAGAGTTTGGTGTGAGTGAGTCACCTTGTAAGGGAGATGGGCAGCATAAAATGTAATAAATAAATAAATAAATGGCAAGTAAGTAAGTAAGTAAGTAAATAAATGAAATCCAATCACTGACGTAGTTTCCAAAATGACCCAGGACACTGAGACCATCATAACTACGAACCAGTTGTCAAGCATCTGAATTTTGATCATGTGATCATGGGGACGTTGCAACGGTTGCTAAGTGTGAACAGTGGTCATAAGTAAAGAACTACCTGTAAGGTCATTTCAAAACGGTTGTTTTGAAATGAAGATTTAGTTGGCATCCCAAACTTTTTTCAACTCAACCAAAGGACGCAAAAAGCTAGAACGAGAAACCCTTTTAAAAAGTACTTATGACTTGGTCCCCGCAGTCAAAGCTCTTGCCACATTATCTTCTATATTGTCTTCTTCTTTTTTTCCCCAGACATTTGATCTGGGTTTTTAGACTGAAATCTTCAGGGAAAGGCTAACTGATCCGATACACAGAAAATTGATTTTCGTTTCGCTTCCCACAATTGGGTTATCTTACCAGGAATGGCACTTTCTGCCTTGTCAGCGTCTCAAACCTGGACTCAAATTTCGCCCTCTTGGGATTTAACAAATAGATCGGTTATAATGAAGACTTGATCTAATGCAATCGCTTAAGCTCTTCTGCAATGGAAAGCTGGTTCTTTCTACACTCCGGATCTACGGCTGGCTGAAATAAAGTTTGACTGAGCAACTGAAGATTACTGGGAAACGACAACGTGCAACCACAAACGAGCCCAAAATTTACGTTGTTCAGTGAGAAAGTTGCTAATCGAATTATGCTCCATTTTGTGACCTTTCTTGCCACTGTCATTAAGCGAATCACTGCAGTGGTTCAGTTAGTGACAGGGTTGTTAAGTGGATCTGGCTTCTCCACTGACTTTGCTTGTCTGAAGTTCGCAAAAGGGGATCGCGTGACTCCAGGAAGCTGCGACCATCGTAAATGTGAGTCAGTTGTCCAGCATCCGAATGTAAATCACATGACCCTGGGGATGCTACAATGGTTGTAAGTGTGGAAAAAATGGCCATAAGTCACTTTTTTGGTGATATGGAACGGTCACTGAGCAACATGTTGTTAAGTCAGGGACTATCTGTATTTCGCTCTAGGATATGAACAGGAGTTTTCTGCTTTACTTTTCCTCAAATTGGCTAGAGTCAACTGTCTCTCTTCTTATTCGTTTTCCTAGTGCATTAGAAGTAATGTTTTTTTTTTTTTAACCTTTTAACAAAGCTACAGACCGACACTGATTCATTTTCTGAAGCTGGAAGTAAACAGCCGTACAGTTTTCTTGACCCTCAATTTTGTCAGCCGACATTTCTTGGATAAGTGGATAAATAAAACCACTGCCTTAGAGATACAAACAGAAATCTCAGTATTTTACCTTTTAGCAGATTTACTGACTTGCACTAGTGGAGAATAACACTTATTTCCACATTCCCACCGGCTGTTAAAAGGCATTTCCTGAGTAGCAAAGAGTTGCAGGCTTTAAGATGGGTGGACTTTGACTCCCAGAATTCTCCAGCCAGCCTGCTGTCTTAGTGGCCAAGTCTGAGAAAAACTGTTTCAGACAAAGCTTTTTGAACCAGGAGCTGGTCTTCCAAACTGGCTTCGGACCAAGGCAATTTTTTTAGCAGAATTTTGTTTGATCAGGATTTTGGATCAATGGGACAGAATTTTGGAATTTGGGTATGTCAAGTCTAATGAAAAGAAGGACTAGGGGAGACATGATAGCAGTCTTCCAATATCTGAGGGGCTCCTACAAAGATGAGGGGGTCAAATTATTCTCCAAAGCACCAAAAGGCAAGACAAGAAACAATGGATGGAAACTAATCAAGGAGAGAAGCAACTCAGAACTAAGGAGAAATTTCCTGACAGTGAGGACAATTAACCAGTGGAACTCCTTGCCTCCAGAAGTTGTGGGTGCTCCAACATTGGAGGCTTTCCAAAAGATTGGACAATCATTTATCTGAAATGGATATAGGGTTTCCTACCTGAGCAGGGGGTTGGACTAGAGGATCTCTAAGATCACTTGCAACTCTGTTATTCTATGTTCTAAAATATCAGAATTCTCCGATTTCCCAAGAGGTTGAGAATCCTATTGCAGTTGGGAGAAAACTCAGCAACTCAGATGAGTCTCACGTGTGGAATTTTTCAGGAAACGAGACAGATAATTTCCCCCTCTTGTGCCTGGCTCTGTGTTGTCTAATTTTAGACAAATAAAAAGCTCTCTTCATCTCCCTTTTTGCTGCAGAATGGACAATGCTGCTCTTCAGTCTGCAATCCGGCACCTGCTGCGTTCCTGGGTTGCGCTCTCCTTTTCTGCCCTTTCGGGTTTTGCCCAGCTATTTTTTTTAATGAGACCTTTCTTAATTGTTACTCAGCGGTCCTCTATTTTTTATTGTTTGGCGTCTCAGCTGGGTCCCCTTGATGCATTCACCAAAGGAATTCTACTGCGCCCGATAATGCAAAAATAAAAAATAAATAATCCTGCAAAAGGGATAAATAATGCAAAAGGGGGAAAAAAGGGGGCCTGGGAAAATCAAAAGAGGAAAGTTGCTGTTGAGCTGCAAATTGGGAGAGACCCAAACCTCAAAGAGAAGTAATGGGGGGGAGGGGGGAAGTCCCATTTTGTCTTCCCCCAATAAAGTCATCGTAGTAGATCAGTTGTGCAATAATCTAATCACAAATAATTTATGCAGCATGAAATTACCAGAAAGTTTTCAAGAAGAACCGTCCGCTGCCTCAAAAAAATAAAATAAAAATAAAGCTGAGAATTTGCTTTGTGCAAACTCAGAGAGCGAGAGAGAAAAAAAGAGATTAATATTTTTCAGGATATTAACGTACCAGATCGCCCAATTAATTAGTAATAAAAATATATTTTGTCACAGCAAAGGGCAGCACCCAGGCAAATGTGCCTGATCGAAAAAGTTTAAGCAAATCAATCCTGACTTCATTTACAACCATTGCAGCATCCCCACGATCACATACTCAAAATTCAGGCGATGCTTCAACGATCTTAAGTGTGAAAAATGGCCATAAATCCATTTTTTTCCCGGTTGTTTTGAATTCAGACGGCTGCTAAATGAATGGTTGTAAACCGAGGAGTACCTGCAAAGTTTGAATAAAGGGAAGCACCTTTGCGATGCAGATGTTTTTGGAGGAAGCTGAAAAGTTGCTGAGATGAGCATCTGGAGGCCTCTCAAGGCGTCTTCTTGAGTTCCTTCCCAATTAAAGTGAACCCAAGCTAAGTTCAGAGCGATTAAATCCAGGGATGTGGGCTTAATTAATTGCAAGCGGTCAAACCTCAGTGGCATTTTCTTTATCCCTGTCGATAAATTAACCTTTCATCAAAGGAAGACATTTTCCTGGGGTAATTGGAGAGCCTCGCCAGAAAACGAATTGTTCAAAAAAGCTTTCACTGGCTTGGACAGCCTCCAGTGGGAGAAGCTCGGCTACTAGAACTTCCCAGGTGCTGAGAATCCGGGGTGTAGACAGCTACCTGTGGTGACATCCAGGTTAAGAAGGCTGACCTTGATTCACAGGTAGAGGTGGACTGACTGACAGATTATGTACCATCAAATCAGTGTTGACCGTCGGCAACTCTATAGATAAATATTCTCCATGATGATCTGTCTCTCACCTGGTCCTTCAGATCTTCCAATGGTTCTCCCATCATCACCGGAACCAAGTTCATCCTCTTCTCTTTACTTCTGCTAGTTGCATCATTGTGGACATCTCTGGAAATTGCATAGCTCTTACTTAGATGATGGATGGATGGATGGATGGATGGATGGATGGACTGATTATGTGTCATCAAGTCAGTGTTGACTTTCAGCAACCCCACTACTGTAAACATATTTCAGTTGGCAAGCTCCCAAATTTTGTGACTGTGAGGGATGATGCAACGGTCGTAAGTGCGAGGACTGGCCCTTTTTTCGGCACTGTGGCAACTTTGTCCCAAATGAACAGTTGTAAGGGCGAGGACTGGCCTTCAGTCCCTTTTTTCAGTGCCGCTGTGACTTCATTTTATTTTATCTTATCTTACTTATTACATTTATTGGCCGCCCACCTTACCACAGGTTTAAAATCAAGCACAATCGCTAAACGAATGGTGGTAAGTCAAGGGATAGCGGTATAAGGTCCAATAACTGAGGGAGAGAGAGTGGGGAGGCAAATCAGCAGCCGTTCCTTCCCCAACGACTTTTCAATTCGCTAGAGAAATGATCGCCGTCGAAGCCGACGCGTCGGGAGAGCCGTCCTAAAGCAGAGAGCGGTAAATTGGACTATCCTTCCCTTCCATTTCACTGATGGAAAAGCCTTTTCACACGACCTCAACCGCCTATTCATCTTGACAGGCAGCGTTTGCGGACTTCCCAATGCTGAACCACTCCGGTGTAATTAGCCAATTTGCAGCCCTCTAATTAATTTGCATTTTGCACTCAAATCTAATAAGCTGCTCTCCTCCAAGGCGACGACAGCAAAAAGCAGGAACCGGGGGATGAAAACGACAGGGGACTCAGCCATCAGCAAACAAGAGTTTTGTGTGGGTTATTTTTGTGTTTTTTTCTGTTCATGTGTGCTCATTAATTCCGCACCCACAATGTGTGTGTGCTTCTCCAGGTCTTTCAGAGGCGTGAGGACGGCTCCGTGAATTTCTTCCGTGGCTGGGAAGCTTATAAAGATGGATTTGGAAAACTGACAGAGGAACACTGGCTGGGTATGTCCATCCCAGGGAAATGATGAGGCATTAACAGATTAAAAAGCTAGTTTGATCTAGTGGTTAAAGCACCTGGCTAGAAAGCGGGAGACTGTGAGTTGTAGTCCCAGCCTTTGCCACGAAAGCCGGCTGGGTGACTCTGGACTAATCACCAGGCAACTGGGAGTTCCAGTCCCTCCTTAAGCATTGAAACTCTCAACTTGGCACCTGTCTTTCGCTCTCAGCCCAACTCACCTCCCAGAGTTGTTATTGAGGGGAAAACAGGAAGAGAAAGTATATGTTTGCTGCCTTGAGTTTTTTTGTAAAAATAATAAAAGTGGGATTTGAATAAATAAGATAATGAAAACCCTTGACAAGCCAGAAAGCAACAAATAATGGTATAAAAGAATCTGTCGCATGTTTGAGTAGGAGCAGAAGTGTGTAGTTTGTTTCAACCCCAGTTTAGAGCAGCAAGAATCCCATCATCAAATTAATGTAAACTGGGCTGGAAGGGACCTTGGAGATCTTCGAGTCCAACCCTCTGCTCAAGGCCGGAGTCCCTGCTACCCTTGGCCAGGAAGGAGAGAAGGAGAAACACAGCGCTGATTATTTCCTCCTCCTTTTCTGCATTAGGTCTGAAGCGAATCCATGCTCTCAGCACGCAAGGAAACTATGAATTGCGCATCGACCTGGAGGATTTCGATAATGGCACGGCCTATGCCCATTACGGGACTTTTGCAGTCGGCCTGTTTTCTGTGGACCCGGAGGAAGATGGCTACCCCATCTCCATTGCTGACTATTCTGGAACAGCAGGTGGGGCTCCTTTCTAAAGATGTGGTTTCTTTTTGTGAGGTCCTTGGTGCTCTTTGAGCTTGGTTGCTTTCTGGCAGACGTTTCATTACCCAACTAGGTAACATCATCAGTGCTAGAAGGGAGTGGGGTGGAGGAGGAGGGCAACAACTGTGGGGTCATTGATGCTCTCTGAGTTTAGTAGTTTAGTTTCCTTGTAGACATTTCTTCACCCAACTAGGTAACGTCATCAGTGCTATAAAGAATTCATGGCAGCACTAGTACACAATACACCCAACCTAATCAAATAACTAAGACTGAAGTATCCAAAATCATGGATTTCATCAACCTCGGCCTTATCATCTATTTTCGGTTTGATGGAGAAAACATAGCACTGATGATGTTCCCTAGTTGGGTATTGAAACATCTGCAAGAAAACAACCAAGCTCAGAGAGCACCAAGGACCCCAATCTCCTCCTCCTCCTCCTCCTCCTCCTCCTCCTCCTCCTCCTCCTCACACACCTCATCTCCCTTCTAGAACTGATGATGTTACCTAGCTGGGTGAAGGAACATCTGCAACAAAACCATCAAGTTCTGAGAATACCAAGGACTATATAGCCTAGTTGGTGATAGGCCATAAGTCACTTTTTTCAGTACGGTCACTAAACAAAGTTATAAATTATAAGTCGAGGACTACCTGTATATGTTTTAATAATTGCACAGGTCCTTTCATGTGTGATTTTTTACATTATCATTCTGATGAAAGAAAGGGAGGAAAAACCAATGACTCCCTGCTCGGAATAGAGAGAGAGAAAATCTCCAGCCTTATTAAACAGCTGAGCTTACCACAGTAGCAAATTTCCACTTCAAACACCTATTCAGAATTTAAATTTCATGTCAGAAATCAATACTTCACCCCACGGTAAAGGACGCTTCAGTTGGAATATCCACTTTGCAAATGTGTTTGGAAGCCATCCACCAGTAGGCTGTTCTGGAAATCAGCATTTCTGGCTTTCTGCCAGGGAAAAACGCAACAGCGTTTTATCTCCACTGCCTTAAGCAGCCACACCATTCCTGGACTTACAATTCTGTTCACTCCTCTAGTCTTCCCCAAATCTGCTTTTACCAAACACAGACTAACAGAGTAGGAACAAAGAAAGTCCAGTTGCCTTTGGAAAAAGCACCTTTGGGACCTCCATCACTGGAGATTTTCAAGAAGAAACTGGACAGCCATTTGTCCAGGATGGATATAAGATCTCCTGCTTAAACAGGTGGTTGGTCTAGAAGACCTTCAAGGTCCCTTCCAACTCTGGTATTCTATATCCTATTCTTTGGATGTGTGTGGGTTCTTTCTCAAAAGTAGATTAGATTGCCATTTGTCAAGAAGGTTTTAATTTGCTCTTTGGCCCTCCACAGAAGGTGGACTAGATGATCCCAATGTTCCCTTCCAGCTTTCCACTTATGGTTCTTTCCCAAGACAGGATGTGAAGGGATTCAGCATCACCCAGTACAAACCTTGTGGAATGGGGGAACATAACATTCTGGTATTGACTGCAATTTGATGGTGGAGCCAGGGGTTGATCGGTCTCCACGCTGGAGGTTCCTTCAAGATGAGTTGGAGACATCCTCATGAGGGAGACTAATCTCAGTAGCTTTTTCTATAGTTCTGTGAAACTTCATTCTGACTTATCTCGCCAACCTAACACATTTCTCCTCCTTAGGAGACTCTCTCTTGAAACACAATGGCATGAAATTCACCACCAAAGACCTGGACAACGACCATTCGGAGAACAACTGCGCCGCCTTTTACCACGGTGCTTGGTGGTATCGCAACTGTCACACGTCCAACCTGAACGGTCAGTACCTCAAGGGCCACCACAGCTCCTATGCAGACGGAATCGAGTGGTCATCCTGGACAGGTTGGCAATATTCTCTCAAGTTCACCGAAATGAAAATTCGGCCGGTCAGAGATGAAAACTAGCGGTGTGTTCCTCCTTCATTCCTCTCTCACCTTTCCACCTTCGAAGCTCACTGTGGTTTTGCCTGAGTCTGGAGAAACACAGAAGCCGAGAAATTCCCTTGCCATCTCTTCACACTTGACTATGTCAAATGTTCTCTTTGTGTCCTCAACTGAGTTTTGGAGAAGACACTCGTTGTATACCTCTCTCTGGTGCAAGACAAGCATTCTTGTAAATCGGTCCTCTTCTCTACACCCAAAAGGACAGACTTGAGAAGAAAACATCTCTCTTCACTTCATCTTGATGGGTGTAATCACGCACCTCCCCTAGCAATCCAAGATGTTATTTTAAGAGAGGTCTTTTGCTCTTCGGAGAAGTTAGCTTTGGTTCAAGAGCATCTTCCCAGGGACCTCCATAAAAAAAAAAGTTGCCCTAATTATTTTTATGGGGAGCCACACATTAATTATTCAGCTGAGGAAGGCCACTTGAAAAGGAAGGAAGGATTTAGCTGGTGACAAGAATGGGTCACATATTAGAAGCTCAGGGTGAAATCTATAATGGGGAAAACAAATTGCATGGATGGATGTAGAAAGTAAATTTATCATAGGACACAAGACTCTTTTGGAAAACTCAATCACCTGCAAAAATTTCCAGGCTGTGTAAAAAAGGAGCAGAATTTATTCATTTTCCTGTGTCTGGTTAAAGGAAGGCAAATGAAGTGCCAGCTATAAAAATGAGATTAATTCCATAAACCACAGTTCAACTACACATAGATATACCATCAAAAATTGGTCCCAGGACTGCTGAACATTTTAAAAAAAATAATGGAAGACCCCAAAGAGCCGTAGATATAACAAGAAGCTTATATCTACAGTGACCAGGCGTCCTTTATCTCAGAAAACTATTCTTTAGATTTATTTATTTTACCAAAAACTCCTTCTTGTCTGTGATTTTGGTCACGGTTCACCGTGCAAATGGCACCCTGCAATGCCCAGCCTTCATTCATGTGAAAAATATGGAAATTGAAGTGTCTTTTTAAAAATAAGTTTACATACAGGTAGAGTCTTTGACTTATAACCATTTACAGCAGTTTCAGAATCCCAGAGACCAAAATTTCTTTTGCTAAGCAAAGGTGTTTCTTAAGTGGGTCACGTCCGATTTTACAACCACGTGCCACGGTTGTTAAATGAATCATTGCAGCTGTGAAGTGAACCACATGGTCATTAAGGGAATCTGACTTCCTCCCATTGACTGTGCTTGTCGAAAGCCGGCTGGGAAGGACACAAATAACGATTACATGAGTGCAGGACAATACAACAGGCATAAGTACATGTCAGTTGCCAAGCACCCAAATTTTGATCATGTTACCCCGGGGAATCTGCAATGGTTGTAACAACTGCGAGGACCAGTCGTAAGTCACTTTTTCAGAGCGATTGTAACTTCCAACCATCACCAACAAATGGTTGTAAAGTCGAGGACTTACCTGCATAAGGTTTGATTTTGTATACTTTTATTAGAACATACATTTTTTTGTAAATATTGTCTCGGTTTTGATCCTGAATTTTCCTTTGTAAAGCAAAGTTATAAAAAGAAGCAAGTAAAATGGTTGATCCTTACAAATCTTGTTTCAGATTTATCCTTTTTTCCAGGTCTTCTGTTCGTTCTTCCCTCCAATGATCACTGCAATTTTAGCCCCAAATTTCTGCGGCTAAATGAGACAGTCGGTAAGAGAGTTTTTGTTAAGTGAATCTTAACAAACCTGCAGTTGTTAAGTGAGCAACACAGTTGATTATTAAGCGAATCTGCCTTCTCCCATTGACTTGGCTTGTCCAAAGTTTGCAAAAGGGGATCACGTGACACCAGGGGATGCTGCAACAGTCGTAAATGCGAGTCAGTTACCAAGCATCTAAATTTTGATCACGTGACCTTGGGGATGCTGCAACGGTCATAAGTGTGAAAGATGGGCGTAAGTCATTTTTTACAGTGCCATTGTAACTTTGATCACTAAACAAACCGCTGTAAGTTAAGGGCTAGCTATATTTGACTTTACAGAGCCCCTGTGGTCTTCAAACCACATTTTGACAACTGCAGCTTCGGAGGAGCCCTCCCTACGAAATCCCTGCTTGTCTTTACAGCCATTGCTGGGATCATTCAAGGAGAAGCTAGCAAGCTTTGTCAAAAAGGACGGCATTTGTACTGCCAGCCAGCCTGAAAGTTGGCAATTTGATTGTTTCTAATTTCTCTATCTGAAAAGTTGGAGGTGTCTTTAATGCAGGGATTGTTCGTCTCTGTTACGGAGTGTTTGCACGCTTCAAAAATCAACAAGTGCTATTTGGCCGCAGCTGACAAAATCAAGACCGAAAATATGAACAAACATATAATCAGGCACGGCTTGTACCACTTTGGATTCTCTTTAAAACAATTGCTTTTTTCTTCCAGGATGTCAGAAAAGAAAACTTCTGCAGACTGTGAATGAGGTGGGTTTTTTTTTTTCTCTTCCTCTCCCAATGAAAATGAAAAAAAGAAAGAGAGAAAAAGAGAGAAAGGGAGAGAATAAAGCTTTTATTTTCATTCAGAAGAGGCAAGGAAGAATTCACCTCTTAATTCCTGTTGCCCTTAATTAGCCTGCTAAAAAACATCAGCTCTGTTTGGATAATGACTTTTCTAGGCAATGGGGAAGTCCCTCAAACAGCATCAGTGTGGAAGACAGATGTAAACCTAGTGTTATTTAGGTCTGGGAACATGCATTCTTGCAAGTGAAGTGGGCTGCAAGCAAGGCTGTTAGGATTTGTCCTCTCTTCTTCCAACAACTGCTCAACCACAACTGTAGCCCTAGTGATGATACCTAGTTGGGTAACACAAGATCTGCAAGCAACCAACCAACCTAAGAGTTATTGTATGTCGAAAGGGAACAAGTCACAGCACTGATGATGTTACCTAGCTGGGTCATGAAACGTCTGCAAGAAAACAACCAAGCTCCGAGCTACTGTATATTAACAGGTGCAAACCTCTTTTTCTCCTAGCACTGATGATGGTACCTAGTTTGGTAATGAAATGTCTAAGAAAACAACTAAGTACCAACGTCTTCCTCTCCTCCTCCTCCTCCTCTCTGCAAACCCCACTCTCTCCAAGCATTGATGATATTACCTAATTGGGTCAAGAAACGTCCACTAGAAAACAACCATATAATTGGGCATGACTCGTTTAATTACCTTCCTGCTCAGCAATGGAAATTCTGGTCTCCATTATAGTCACAAGTCAAGAAGTTACTGAGTAGGGGTTGGGCTGGATGATCTTTGAGATCCCTTCCACACTGTGATGTGGTAGGAGAAGCAGCATCTTTCTCTCCCATCCATTCAACCCTCCTGCTGGGATTAAGCCCAACAGGAAGGGCAATGAGGCTGAAAGCAGACTGCCAGTTGTGTCGGTGTCAGAAGAGACTGGGAAAAATGGGGGTGGGGGGGGGTGAGACGGGAGCCCAGCTAATCCCAGACCGGGTCTCGGATCCCTGCTGATCCTTCAGGGGCCTCTCTCCAGCTTTAAGGATTAGCCGGGCCCTCAGTCTGTCCCCAGAGTCGCTCAAGCCAGCTTTTGAAGCTTTAATGCAATTCCAAATCCTTTCAAAGGTAACCATTGGTTGCAGGCTTTGATGGGAGAGGAAGGGAAATAACCCAGAATAGAAGTAATTATGATATCCACTCTCTTTCTTTGGTTACACTTAGCTCTGAGTGAGTCAAGGGAGACCGTCTGCTGGAAAAAAAGAGAGGGGGAGGGTCCATGCTTATGACACCCCCTCCCTATTCTGGGGCTGTTTAATAACCAAGGAATTGGGAGTATGGAAAACAAACTGGCTGGGATGGGAAGTATAAATGCTCTGGGCCTGTTCTTACATGGTTTTTAGAAGCTCATACACGAATTAAATAAGATGGAAGGGCTAAAGGAATCAATCTCTTGCTTCCCCCCCCCCTTCTCCCATGGAGTTTATATGAGTCTAATCAGGTTGTCATTTTCACTATATCCCAACCATTCATTATGGTATCTTAGCCTCTGGAATGTGTACAGCAACAAGCACAATAAAGGGAAAGGTGAGAACTAATGAGGTGTCTTATTTAAAGACAGAGAAGCAGGGATATTCAGATGCCATCTGACAAACTATCGGAAAAGATCTGAATCCCAAAGAGATAAAAATGTAAGTAATTCAATCTTTTTTATCTTGCGCTCAATTCCGTTCTTCCCTCTTTTTGTCCATCCATCCATCCAATACTTTCTAACCAATAAAGGAGAAATATTTCTAGTTCAGGATTGCATCCCACCCCGTTATTTCCTTTCAAATTGATCAGGAACTTTGTTTTATTGAGGACGATGGGTTTGTTTCATGACTTGTTGCCCAAAAGTTATAACATTGGATCGCTCACGCGATCAACTGACCAATCTTGGGCTCAATTACAGTCAGAAGTCCGGGACTGCCTGTATTGTAGGCTTTGCCAATGTGTTGACGGAGGGAAAAAAGGGAAAAAAATGTGATTTTTATGACCTTTATTGCCATGTTGTTAAGTGAATCGCTGCAGTCAAGTGGCGGTTAAATGCATCCAGCTATCCCAATTGATTTTGCAAATGGTGGTCTCGTGGGCTTTTGGGATGCTTCAATATATGTCGGTAACTGAGTGCCTGAATTTGGACCATGTGACCCTGGAGAGGCTGTGAAGGTTATAAGGGTGAGGGCCACTTGTAACGCCCTTTTCACAGTGCTGTTAACTTCAAATGGTCAAAAAAACAAATTGTTGTCAGTCAAGGACTGAGGTGCCCAAACGCTCCCCTTTCAATTGTTCAATGCAACAGGAAGGAGAGTTCCGCGTCTGTTCCTCTGCAGAGGCTGATTCTAAAAGCAGATGTGCCACCTCCAATAGCTAGCAACACAAAATTGCCCTTCCCTTCGGGGATTGCTCACACCCTCCCAACTACACAACCTACAAAAGCACACACGTATGGGATTGCATCCATCCCACACAGCCTGTTAACCAAACAAAAGGCAGGTTCCAACAACTGGAAACCAGCTTTGAACTGACAATTCGGGTAATCAAAGCGTTTCTGAACATCTCATTCTTTGCAAAAAGAGAGAGAGAGAGAGGGAGAGAGACAATTTGTACAAAAATAGCACACGGCAGCCTGGCGAGCTGATGAAGATCATGCTGAAGGTTTGCTTCAATCAAGGAGACGCTGTGTTTATTGTTTAGGGGAGCATTACAGTGGAACAGATTATATATTTTGCCTTGGAGGGGCAGGAAACGGGACTAAACAATTAACTACACTCAAATCATGGTTTCTGAGGCATCTCCTGCAGCCAGTCAAGGGGGAGCTGGAGATGAGGGTGCCCCACATCCAGCTTTAAGGCTGGAAAGGATCTTGGAGGTCTTCTAGCCCAACCCCTGCTCAAGACCTTATTCCATCATCGACAAAGGGTTGTCCAACCGTTTCTTGAAGACCTCCAAGAATGGAGCCCCACAACCCTAATCCTGTGTCTGGGGTTGCCCCTCTGATGAGGAAAGAAAATCTGAGCTTCCTCAGATTTTCCCTTGGGATGTGAATTACATTCTCCGTTCTCACAGCTTGAGAATATTCCCCATTTTAATTCCAAGAGCCATTGTGTAGATTGCAAACTTGATTACAATTCCAGAGGATCTGTTTCGTGAGCTTCGGACTCCAAGCTGGTTTACGTGGGCCCCAATCTCGGCTTGTTCAGCTTCCTCAGAGGCCTCGTAGCCGAAAAACGAACTGGCTAGAAACAAAAAACAAAAAAACAAACTCCAACACACAAAGACAAAACCTCCCAAATGAATCATATTTAGACAGCTTAATCTGGCCAGGCAGGTAGGAGGGGGAGAGAGGGCAAATTCCCATCTCCATCAGTAAGATGGTTTTATGGTTCAAAGAACCTGGCAGAAGATCCTTTGGAGAACTTGACCCACAATTGATGCCAGACAAGATTGTAGACGGAGCAATATTTGTGTCTGTGGCTCTTCCTTGCTTCCTGCTGCGAAATTAATTTCCTCTTTTGAACTCGAAAGATTTGATCGCCTTTGCAAGCTTATGACTTATTTCTCACACCTACGAGTACTGCAGCATCCTTGCGGTCACATAATCAGAATTGGGGTGCTTAGCAACCAGCATCTTATGACGGTCGCAGCGTCCCAGGTCACATGATCTCCTTTTGCAACCATCTGACAAGCAAAGTCCATGGGCAAGCTGGATTCACTTAACAACCATGTGACTCACTTAACAACTGCAGTGATTCATTTAACAATGGTGGCAAGCAAGGTGGTAAATTGGGTCAAAACTCACTTAAGAAATGTCTCCTTTAGCAACAGAATTCCAGGGCTCCCTTGTGGCTGCAATGCATTCACCGTTTGTGACGTTATCATCAGTTTTCTTCAGAAAAAAAGTTTCTTCAGAAATTTTCTTCAGTTTGTCTTCCTACATCTCTGGAATCTGAGTATTGGCACATATAATCCATTAAGCTTCACTTTTCATCTGAGACTGCTCTTTTTTAAAAAAGAAAGAAAGAAAGAAAGAAAAAGCAAGCTTCTGGCTCCTTCTGATTACCATGATGTGCTTGAAGAAAAGCAAAAGAGGGAACATCCATCCCTAGCAAGAAATATCTTTTCAGATGGGGAAGCAGAAAGACTCCTGG